GGGGGGGGGAGGGGAGCACCCACCCCAGCCGAGAGGAGCACCTCTGGCCGCCCCACAGTATGAACGGCGGAGAAAGGAGGGAATCGACCAGTGTCATCATGCGGAGTTGGCGGCACGAGCAATCTCAGCATAGTTGAAGACTGACCACACCGCAAACACCGATACAGAGAGCGGGACAGGAGGGCAGGAAGCAGGGTAAGAGGGGTGGTACGAGGGTGAGTACCCGATATGGCAAGAGAGGAGGGGGGGGGGAGAGAGAGAGAGAGAGAGAGAAGGACACGCGAAAGACAGAAAATCAGGAGAGCACGCACTGTTGATGTCCTCATTCTCGCACATATCCAGGGCCACCTGGCAGCTCTCCTGGACCACCTCAGCATGGTCGAGCTGGAACTTCTCCAGAATCTCCTTGACCTCTGGCGTGCCGATGGACCCAAGAGCTATGGAGGAGCGAGGGGGGAGGGAGAGGAGGTTAGAGGGGGAAGGAGAGGAGGTTAGAGGGGGAAGGAGAGGAGGTTAGAGGGGGAGGGGGGATGGAAGACCAGCGTCCGCGCAGGCGAGGGGGGAGGGGGAGGCAACAGAACAACAAGAGCACGGGACAGATAAGAACATGGCAGAGGGAGAACACATACTCTCAGCGCTCTCATGGCGGACCATCGGGTGCTCAGCCTCGTCTTGCAGCGAGGCAATCAGAGCCGGTACACTGATCGGGCTGCAGATCTGTCCCAACACGAAAGCCACCTCATGGCGCAGGAGCGCCGAGCAGGGGGCCTGCAGACCGGCACAGATGGCCAGGACGGCCGCCTCGCGGGACTGCTGGGCCGCCTCCTCGGCCTCCCGGGCAGCGGTGGCCTGGGCAATCGGGCCGGCGGACTCGGCCGCAGCAGCCGCGGCCGAGGCATTACTCGGAGCCACAGACAGATCGCGCAAGCTGAACAGGGCCCGGTACCGATCGAAGAGAGGCAGGCTCGCATCGAGCAAGCGCTCACGCAGCTCCGGAATGGTCTTGGCCGGGCGCCCGGCAGCCCGGTCGGCGAAATAGCACGGCGGGGCCGGGTCAATGGTCAGGAAGGGCTGCTCGGCCGGAGCACCATCCGGGCCCGGGGACCGGGCAGCAGCGGCCACCGCCGCCTCGCCGGCCAGCGGCCCGCCCGGCATGCAGAGGGCGTCATACTCGAGCCGGGCGACGGCCAGCTCGCAGGTGTCCACCAGCGGCTGCGGCGCCCCGGCCAGGGCACCCTCGCCACCAGGAGCGTACTTGCGCAGGATGGCAAAGGAGGAAGGGTCGCCGATGGCGGCAAGGGCCTCGCCAGCCTCGTGACGAACCTATGACCCGTTCGATCAAGGACACCATGGGTTAGAATGAAAGCCGCGAAGGGGTTGCCAATGAGAACCCCCGCCCCCCGGGGGGCGGGGGAGAAGGTGGCATGTGGGCGCACAATCTCATCTTCCGTGGAGTCGTCCACGATCTGGGTCAGGATCGGCAGCGAGCACTGCTGCTTCAGCTGCCCAAGGACGTAGGCCAGCTCGTGGCGCAGCAGGGCCGACTGGTCGGCAAAGCCCTTCTCGATGGCCAAAGCGGCCTGCTCGCCGCCAAGGTACTTCAGAGTGAAAAGGGCCCGGAAGCGCAGGGCCAGAGCAATCCCGGTGTCAGCCAGGATCTCCCCGAGGCGCTGGAAAACCAGGGGGTTCTCGCGGGCACGCTAAACAGCGGGTCAGAAACTCGGGCACAAGCAGGCCGCTGGAGGGTCAAAAAAAAAGGGGGAAGGCACGGGCAGGGGGCGACGGCATGGAAGCACGCACGGAGAGCTCCTGCTCGGGGATGAAGGACTCGGACTCGTCAAAATCGGCGGCGGTCATGGTGATCAATCAAAGGGGAGTAGTAGCACTGCGGAGTCTGTGGCGAGTGGTCAGCGGCGGAGACGGAAGTGGGGGGGGGGGGGGCAAGGGAGAGGGGAACATGGGGAAAGGGGGACAGCCGAACCCGAAGGGGGAGGCTTATCGGGAGGGGACTCACCAGAGAGAGAGAAGGCGGTGCAGGGCTTACTGCAGGCTGGTGGCCTGGACTCCTGGTGTGCGGCCCGAAAAAAAGGCCCCCCCCCCCCCCCCCCTCCTGCCTCTGTTGCCCACCGTTCCAGACCCCTCTCCTGGCCGCACACCCGAGACCGGCCAAGCATTCGAGCCAGCAAAGCTCCATCTTTCGTCAGACTGACCGCCAGATCGCGCCGGTCTTGTGGGAGAGAAGGCAAGGGGCTGCTCGCCCAGGCTGGGACGCCGCCATGGCCTCGTCCCCGGGGCTGCCGGCAGCGAAACGCGCGGGCCACCCAGTCCCCGAAAAACGCCTCGCGGCGATGACCCGTGGTTTCGCATGCATATGACATGATCACATGTGCCATCTTGGTTATGATCGAGCCGCCCTTCCCAAAAAAAAACCTGCCGGACTCAGGGCTTCGACAAGGCTGGAAGCCAAGGGGGGGGGCGGAACCCCCCCCCCCCCCCCCGTTCCCTGGCGGGGGCCGATCTCCCTGACCGATGGGCTGGTCCTTTCTATTCCCGGCCGCGGCCCCATCAGGCGAAAATGCGCGCCATTAATTGCGTCCGACGGAAGGCCCTCAGATTGGCCGGCGGTGTGGAAGGGCGGCGAGCGGGCAGCAGGAAGCCTATCTTGCCACTTCATCCCCGAAGTGGGCGGGGGACGTCCTCGGGGAAGATCCCAATTGGGAATACCCACCTCGCCAGGGAGGGACACGCAAGAGAGCAGCAAAGTGCGGGGAAGATAACATTTGGAAAGTGCGATCTGGCGGTCGCCCATCAGGAGGTAAAAAAGGGGGCTGCAGCGTTTGTGGCGGCAGCCTCCGAGATATCCCCTCCTCCCCCCCCCCCGAATTCTTCATCCCCTCTCTTGTCGCCGACCCCTGCCAGCACATCCGAGCCAGCCTCTCCCCGGCCCTGCCCTCTCCCTCCGTGACTCCCTCCCCTCCTTTTCGCCTGCCTTGGAGATCCCCTCGATCACCAACGAAGAAAGGATGGATTTCTTCAGTTACGACAAGTCTATTGGTTCGTCCTATGCCCCGTATCCCGGCCTGACTTCCCTTCTTTTCTTCTCCTTTTCACCAACCTTCCCCCTGCCGTACAACCCTGTTTGGAACTCCAGACCAAGCGGTCTCCAGTGATTTGCGCGAGCCGAATCTCATGTACAACCTTGAGGTGTGCCAGCGGCTCGACAGCAAGGCCCTCAGGTATGCTCGAGATGACTCCCCCCATGATTCTCTTCCCCCCCCCCTTTCTTTCCTTTTTTTTCTCCCCCGCCCATCGGCTGCCACTCACCGCTTCTGCCATGGTCCTCCTTCCAGTGCCAAGGAGTTGCGCCGAAAGCTCGTGCAGCACCTCCAGTCGGAGTCACATCAGACGCGTCTCCTCTGCATCGCTGTGCGTCCATCCATTTGGCTGGATCTTTCGACCTCCCATGCATCCTCCTGACGCGCGCTTGCCTTCCTCCGGTCTGCACGACATTGACCCCTCCCGCCCTCTCCCCTCATATACCTGGCCAATCAGCTGATGGACATGATTGCCAAGAACTGCGATGTGACGATTCGCACCGGCGGTCTACTTTCTAACTCTGTATTGGATGCGCTGGTGTCCCTCGCCGAGAAGGTACGCCATCTTTCAACACACCCTCCTGATTTTCACTGGCCCCGTCTGACTCCTGCCCCGCCGACTCCCTCCCGCCCTGCAGAAGGTGACCTCCACCGACTCGCAGGTGGCCAACAAGGCTGTGGCCCTCTTTTTCGAGTGGAATACCGCCTTCCGGGGCGATCAGCTCTGCCGGACACTGATGCAGCCCTTTGTTGAGCGCCTGGCGAACATCGGTTCGTTTTCCCCTCTTTTGCAGCCGGATACACCTTCTTGTGTCGGCATCTCTCCCCCCGACACCTGCGATACACCCACGCTGACACTGCTTTTGCCATCCTCCTCTCCCAGGCATCCACCCGGCCTCTCACTCGTCGGGCAGCAACTACGCAGCAGCCATCTACACTGTGAGCAAGCCCGCCCCCTTCGAAGAGGGCACCCAGTGCCGCCGCTGTCGGGTGTCTTTCACCCAGATCACCCGTCGGGTATGTGTAGTATCCCATCTCCCCCCTTCCCCACTTCCACTTTCGTGGATTTGGCCTTCTGCTATCCCCTTCAACTAACCGTCAAGTTGCCACTCTTTAGCACCACTGCCGCCGGTGTCGCCTCAGCTTCTGCGGCAGGTGCTCCAGCAAGAAGAAGGTCCTCCCTGACCATGGTGACACGCCTGAGCGCGTGTGCGACGGGTGCTTCGACGCAAATGGCGAACCAGCCAGCGCCACTTCGGCCTACGCACGCAACACGCCGAAGCCCCAGACGAGCGCCCCCTTTTCGGATGACTATGAGGAGCGTCAGCTGCAGGAGGCCATTCGTGAATCGCTGCTGACCCATGAGAAGAAGTATGAGCCCCCTCGCTCCGGTGGGATGGGCTCCTCTGACGCGCACTGGCAGAAGGCCTCCTCGACGTCAGCGGGCCATTCCACCAGCGAGGATGAGGAACTGGCCCGGGCGATTGCCGCCTCACTCGCGGACCAGCAGCACAGTCACCGGCCCCCAGCCTCGGCTGGCCCAACAAAGCCCACCGACCCAGCCCCCACCTCCCACTCCTCGGCACAAGCCCCCTCTTCTTCTTCCTCCTCCTCCTCCTCCTCCTCCTCCTCGTACGGGCCATACGGGACCCTGAAGCAGACCCCGGCCGCGGTTTCCGGCTCGCCGGTCCCATCGCGCCCAGCGGCCCAGCCTGCGGCGGCCCCTCCCCCCACTCGCATCGAGGGTGTCCTGACGGAAAGCGAACAGCGCCATCTCTACCTCTTCTGCCAGATGATGGCCCAAGTGCGCGAGTCCATTGAGGCAGACTCCAGCCCGCATGCGCGGGCTGCTGCTGCCGCACAAATTGCCTCCAATCGTCGGATGCATACGCTCTTCACCTCAGTCAACGAGTTGTCTCCTGTCCTGCAGAAGACCGTCGACGAGCTGGAGGCGTGCCATGGTGCGTGCCCGTGAGCGCGCCATTCTTGGAGCTCCCGCCATCCCATCTGACTGACTAGGCTGGCTGACTAACTGACGCGCCTCGCTTGCCTTGCTCCCTTGCATTCGATCTTTCCCAGCCAAGCATCTGGAGTTGCTAAACATCCAGCGCGAGAACTCCTCACAGGTGGCGCTCGTTGGTCATGCGACACACCCGCAAAAGTATCACCATCACCCGGGCCAGGCTCCCTTCGACCAGGCCCATCAGCAGCACCCGCACGCTCCGCCAGGGGTGCATCAGCAGCACCAGTATGCCCCGCCAGGGGTGCATCACCCCCATCAGCAGCAGCAGCAACAGCCAATGGCGGCGCATCACATGCATCCGGGCCATCCGGCAGGTGGTTACCCCCAGCAGCATCCCCACCCACAGCAGTATCCGCAACATCCCCCGCAGCAGTACCACCAGGGGCAATACGGCATGAGCCGACATGTTTGACAAGAGTAGTCGGCATGCTTTCCGGCTTTCCCTTCTTCCTTTTTCCCTCCTATCCTCCCCTATCCTCTTACGAAGGAGAAATGGCAATGTGTGGAGATCAAACCTTTCGGGAATAGATTTTTCAAACATCACAAAGCTCGGCCACAGGCCAGGAGGAACAGGAGCAGGGACGGACGGGGCAGCGAGTGGTGGGAAGAAGGAGGCGAAACCCAGGCTCGACACAGGCCCTGGGAAGACTAATCATCACTCGGCGGAGCAGAGGCTGGGATCTTGCGAACGAGGACCACACGAATTTCGGAGATCGAATCTCCCCAGAGGGTGCACCGTGGGGTGGAGGTGATCACCTCGAGGCCCAGCTGTTGAGATGAAAGAGGGGAAGGGGTGAGGGGGAAGGGGGGTAAATAGATGGAAAGCATAGGGATACAACTACTGGCTGGGGAAGAAGGAATTTGACAGGAAGACGGAGCAGGGGGGGGGGGGAGGCAGGGGGAGCGAGCCCAGCAGGAGGAAGGGAAGAGCGGCTGTACGCACAGCAAAGAGCGCCCCACGAATGACCCCGGCAATCATGGACAAGTAGGAGAGAGCGTCCTCGCGGGACTTGCCCCCGGCGCCAGTCTCACCTGCCGAGGTGGACCGGCCGTTGAGAACTGGAGGAAGCATAACGTGCGAAGAGAAGGGCGGCTCGACAAACTCCAGCGAAAAGGCCGGCCGGTTGCCATCGGCCGGCGAAGAGAGAGCGAAGTCCGTAATGGCCGGCGATTCGCCAAGGTACATCTTGAAGGCGACCTGCATCGGGGAGATATACATAAACATGTATGGGGGGGGGGGGATGTAAGAGGAGAGGGAGACACAAGGAACGACAGACAGACCGACCGACCAACCGACCGACAGACAGACCGACCGACCGACCGACAGGGGGCAAATAAGTCAGCGCTCCCGACTGTTCCCCCTGGCGAGATGGGCCCAGAGTGTAAGCGCACCTTGGAAATGATCTCGGCGGTCTCGCGGAAGTCGGCGCAGCGACGGAGAAGGCTGACGCTGTTGGCCCCGTCGCCAGTCCGGCGGGTGGGCGTGTTGGCAAAGAGGGAGTGCGTGCGCGACGCAAAGTCATCCGCCAGACGGAGGCCAATGTTGTAACCCCTGCGGAGAGACCAGAGAAGGAAGGTTAGTGTGCATGGCACATGATGGAGGCGGGCCCGATTGGCGGATGGCGCACATCTCATCCAGGCGGGTGTTGATGGCGGCCACGCCAGCACCTGAGGAGAGAGCCTCGCGCGCGAGGTTAGCCACAAGCGAGCCATAGGTCAGGGCAACAACCTCGGCATTCTGCCACAGGCGAGGGAAATATGTCAGACGCGGGAGCAGTGCAGGACAGCGGGCGGGAAGACATGGTCGGCAAATTGACGGACGATCTTCTCGGTCGAGTGATTCCACAGCTCATCCGCCGAGGCGGTCAGCTGGCGGACAACATTGGGCGGGAGACCCTCCTGACTAGGAGGCGAGCCGGCAGACATGTGTGCGTGTGTTTGTGTGTGTGTGTGTGTGTGTGTGGTAAGGGGTGCACGGGGCAGGGGGACAGGAAGAGCGAGGGGAGGGGCCAAAGGAGAGGGAAGGATCAATCGGCGTGTTGCGAGTCTCGAGGGAGTACTGAACGGGCACCCGCCAAAAAGTGTGCACTTGCCAGTCCGGGCCACGCCGAACCCAGGAGGAAGGATCGGCCAGAAAACCACCACCGGCCGGAGAGTATGTCTGTGTGTGAGTGTGTGTGGCAGTAGCAGCAGCAGCGCCGGGCACAAGTGCGGAGCCGGGCCAGGCCGAGCCGGGCCGGGTGGATGTGCCCCGGCGGGGACACCAGCGATCGGGCGAGGAAAGGGGCGGCGGGCGGATCCAAGCATCTATCGGGGCCACGTGATTGCCCCCTTTAAACCCCGAGCGGCGGCGGCCAAAGCGTTTCCCCCACGCATCAGGCCCTGTTGGCGCGGACGTTGGCACACGCCGTGTCCAGGCGCATTTGCCAGACGCAACAACAGGAGGGCTCAGCGTGGGGATCTCCCCTCGCCCAGTTCCCCCCCCCCCCCACTCGCCCCGGAGGAAGCGAGCAACGCGGCGCAGTGGACTTTTGACCCTCCTGGCTGCCGGAACTTACGGTTGCACATTCCCCATCGGCCCCTCCTCTCTCTCCCCTCCGCACAAGCCCTCGCACCCCGTGCTTTTTTTGCCCCACTCCATCCACCCTGCCACATCCCCCCGTCGTCACCGCCACCGCCGCACCACCCACACCCGCCGGCACCTCGCCTGGGATCCCCCCACACAACCATGCCGCCCAAGCGTGACGTTCACCTCCAAACCGGCGAGACCGCGGTCCGTTCCGTGCATTCACATGCACACACACACACACACACACACCATGTTCCATTTCTTGACCACCTCCTCTGACCCCTGTGCAAATCCATGTTGTCCATACATGCATACACACACACACACACACACACAGGAGTTCCCCATTACCTGTTCCAAGTGTCTCGGAGACAACCCGTACATTCGGATGACGTGCGAGTCCATGGGTAAGCAGTGCAAGGTACCCGCGGCTTTTGGCCCTCCTTCATTGCCTTGCCTCATTCCACCTGCATCCAACTCGCTGCTTGCCCCGGAAAATGGCCACTCACAAGCTACGCCCTCCTGTGCGACAGATCTGCGACCGCCCGTTCACCGTCTTCCGTTGGAGTGGCGGAGACACCGGGCGCTACCGGCGGACGGAGATTTGCCAAGTATGCACGCGTGAGAAGAACATCTGCCAGTCGTGTGGTCTGGATCTGGAGTTCGGCCTCGCGCCGCACATCCGCGACCGGGCGCTCAAGATGACGGAGTCTCTGCCGCAAAACCTCATCAACCGCCAGTACCACATCCAAAACCTGGAGGCCAAGCTGGCCGGGGATGAGTCTGCCCAGACCGATGGCGGGGCGGAGTTCTTTGCCGAACGCCGGGCTATCAAGTCTGACGTGGTGGACCACCTGACCGGCAAGGCGCTCGCATTGCTTGAGCAGGCCGATCCCGTCGAGGGCAAGGTCAGTGAGGATGTTCTCAGCTCGCTGAAGACCTTCGATCCGCGCATGCGCTTCCAGGGCCTGGGTGGGTCGACCGGCCGGCCGACTGTCGGGGCCGAGCCTCCAGCCGATCCCACATTCAAGCGCCTGTTTGTCTCCAACGTCTCGGACTCGGTGTCCAACCAGGCCATCATGTGCGTAGTCCGACACAAGCATGCCCCTTCCCTCCCTTCCCCCTCGCCTTTTCCCTTTCCTCCCCCCTCTCGCCAGGGGGCTGTTCTCGAGGCTGCTGCCACTCCCGCCTGGATGTCATCCGCTAACCCCGTGCCTCTCCTGCTTCCCTGCACAGCGATGCGCTTGCCCCTGTGACGCAGGTCCAACGGGTGGTCGTCAGCCGGGAAAAGCGCTGTGCCTTTGTCGAGTGCGCCACGCGCGCCGGGGCTGAGAAGGCCGTCGGATCTTTCTTCCGGTCGGGGCTTACCACTGCCTCTGGGGAACGCTTGCGCGTGTCGTGGGCGCGTTCCGCTGGCGGGCGTCCGGTCGCCGGCAACCGCGAGCACGGCTCCGGCGCCCCGCCCGGCAGTGAGGCCAACTTCGACACTGTCTTCCGCCTGGCTCCTCCGCCCGGGCAGCAGAATGGCAAGCGCTCGGCCCTGCACCTGGCCTCTACCCAGGCTGACCGCCATGGCTCGACGCTGGGTGGGCCTCAGTCGACCGGCAAATCGACCGAGGGGGAGCCCGTCCTTTCGGGCCAGACCACGGTCCCCGGTGGGCGGGGCACCAAGCGCCAGCGCAATTAGACTGCGGCGGGACGCGCTGTCCCCCAGTACGCGCCAAGATTGGCCACTCTGCGCTCCCTCCGGGGGCCCCCTGGCCCTTTGGCTTTCTTTTTTGCCCGTCCCTCTTTCTCTCGTGCAACTGTGCCCCTCTTTGTGCCTCGCCGCCATCCCTTGCGTTACCCCGAAGGGGGAAAATATACATGACAATTTCTTCTATTTGACACATCAGCCAGCATCCGGTGCCTGGCCCCAGTGTGTGGGTGTGTGTGCGCGCGCGCGCGCACTTGGACACACGCCCCATGGAGTGGCGCACCATTGGGCACTGGAGATGGCGAGCGGGCCAGCAGGCGAGTAAGTGTTTTACAATCTACCCCTCCTGAGCCGGGGTCCAAATGACCTCGCCGGCCCGGTTGGTGACCTTGGCAAAGTACTTGCTCGGGAGAATGCCCTCGGTGCCAACCACCCCAGGAGAGAGAATCACCCCGTTGGCGGACTGGAAGAAGGGCACGCCATCGGTCAGTGCCTTGGCCAGGTCAATGTAGATGAAGATCCCGGCGCTGGCACGAGCACCGGAGATCCCCTGGGGCACGGTCATGTGGATATGCTCGCGGGCCATGCGATGAAGGTGCCCGGACTCGAGGATCTTGTCCCAGGTGCCCTTCGAGGTGCCGTGGTACACGACGGGGCAGATCTCGGTGAAGTTCTCAAGGGTGATCTGGGCCGATCACAGAGGGGGGGGAACGAAACGCAGTGGGGGAGAGGGGGTCAGACGGGGACTGGTGGGGGGGGGGGGGGGAGAGAGATGCGGAGTGCCAGGGTGGAAGGCATGAGCAAGCACATACTGTCTTGAGCTCGAGCTCGGCAACGGCGAACGAATGGCCCTGGTTGGCGCGAATGCGGATCCTGGGGCCGGTCTCATCGAGGGCGAAGCGCTGCTTCGGGCAGGCGCGGACCACCTCGCGAACATCCTCGACGGTGACATTTCGCATCTGCGACTGCTTGAAAATGTCCTGGGTGATGGGCGAGCACTCAGGCGGGTCAGTACACATATGAGAGCCAGAAGCTGCCGGAGAGTCGGGAGACTACACGCACATCGAGGAAGGCAAAGCCGTCGGCAGCCATCGGGATGCCAGCCTCGGCAGCGCCATGACGCAGGAAGTAGGAAAGACGCCGGGAGATGTGCTCAATGGTGGCACCGCCGCTGGGGGCCAGAGGCTTGGGCGCGCTGGAGCGGCGATCGCGACGACCACCCTTCGAGGCGGTGGCGCCGGCAGAGGGCTTCATGACAGAGTCAAAGGAGAGTGGGCCACCCGGGGCAGACATGACGGTGGAAGCAGGACGGAACGCGCGGGCGGACGCGGTGGGGGGGGGGAGGGGAGAGAGAGATCGGCCCTGAAAGGAGAATCAGCGAGGGGGATTTATGGCCTCGCGCGGGTGGCCTCCCCGCACCTCACCAGGCCCTGTGAAATACCCCCTCCCATCAGGGCGTAAGAGGGGGGGGGGGGGGCATCTCCGGCATCCCCTCCGGCCCCTCGCGCCCCTTGCGTCTGTCCCACGCCAGCCCCCTGCCATAACCAAGACCGACAAGATCCGGCGGTCTCGATTGGTGCTTTTCGCTCGAGGATGCTGCCCGAGCGAAGGAGCGGGGGACGACCTTACGCAATGCGAAGGAGTGGTTTGTCACGTGCGCGCGTGACCGGAATCCGATTGGACATCGAGCCGCCCGCCCCCAGACCCCGCGCCTCCCAACCGCACGAGTGGCAGGGTCCATCCCCCGCCTTTCAGATGCCGGCGAAACGAACCCCGGCCTAGCGCGTTGGGGAGCATCGACACCCTCTCCCCCTCCCCCTCTCTCTGTACTCGCCCACCTGCTGTCTGCCGCATACGCTTGAACTGCCCCCCCCTAAGCAGTGCAAGGTACCCGCGGCTTTTGGCCCTCC